CACCTAATGAGCAGGATTATTGGCTCTCAGCCGGATTGAACTTGGTGGCCCCTCTCTTGCTAGCTGGCCGGCCCGCACTCAAGGCTGCCCCCAGCCCACGTACCCCTTTGGCTGGTTACCATGGAAACAACCCCAAAGGCAAATGATTCCCCCCTCCCAGCCCACCTCCCCACACCAATACCGTACCAGTCGCTTTCATATTCATGTAACAAAGCTGCGCACTTCTGAAATATCCACCTGTGCAGTGCGAGCAGCACAGTGCATGCTGGGAAAGCGGTACTCGTATTCGCAGTGGGCCTCCAGGGTCGTGCCGCATTGTGCCGGTGACATTTACGTCAGCACTTGTGGTCGGCCATCGATTTCGCACGTATCCATCAGCGGAGTTATGCTTCAGGTAACCATGGTTCACTTTAGGTAGCCATGGATACAGCACTAACACGAAATAAAACAGCAGCACCTCTGTGGACCTGCTTAGTCTTTATTTTGCCCTCCAGCCGGTCGCTGTGTGCGCAGCCTCGTACTACTGAACCAGCTCGTGGCCAGTTCTCTACCCACGTTTCCCAAAGGGCTCCTTTTTCGCTTTCTCACCCTGTGGACATTTTTCCTGAAAATGTCTGCGTTTCATGCACACATCTTTTGGTGAAAAGAGGGCCATTCATTCCGAAACCTGGCCTGGATTTTATATCAGCTGTTTTTAGAGCCTTAAATACCGTTATTCTGTTACTCTTGGTGTCATTACTTTAGTAGATGCATCTCTTTCCTGGGAACTAAAATTTTATTACAATTCACGGTTCATTTGGTGAGGTAGCTGTAGGGCTATGTAATATCACATTGCAATATAATTGTAATTATATGTCGCATGCACAATATTCACCAGGGCTTTAGATGACAGGCGTAAAACATTGGTCTGGACACCCGCTTGGTACTATATGGACGTTTACTTACGCCCACATGTTGGTAAGCAGATTAGCCGTATGCCTAAAATATTATTGAGACGTGTATTGTGATGCCCAAATTCTGTGTATCCTTATGTTTAATAAATGTGTCAGACTTTAAACTGCAAAAAGGACTGTCAGTTCTGAGAAGCTGGCATCCACACAAATGTTCAAGCGTGTTGTCTTAAGCACTGGTGATTATAGTGCATGTGCGATACGATTGTGATGAGATGTCGTGCAGCCCTAAGTAGCTGGTGCGGAGATATACGTCTGATGGGTTTCCTGCAGTGGAAGAGAACAGAAGGAAGCAGGCGGAAAACATCTCCCTTCATTTATCCCCCCTTGGGGGGGGTACTGCCTGGACGGTCCCAGTCCGGCCTCGGGTCACACAGAGGGGGAGGGGGCTGCTCTGTTCACGCTTTCTGACACCGCTCGATATCCCAAGAGAAACTGTAACAGCGAGAGATTAACTCAGGACGCCTCCCAGTCGCGAGTGGGGGGCTGACCATGGCTGGGCGTGGACAGTGGGGGCCAGCAGTGGGACTCATTTGCTCATTAAGAGCCCCTGTGGTCTCTGGCATTAATCACAGACCTAACAATGTCCAGCCGACACCATATCGATACAGAGGCACCATCATTAGTAACTGTTTCACTGATAATCAGCCCACTGTTCATACACTCTCTCCATATTTCTGTGCACCTGTCTGTTGCTATCTCTTTCTCTCTCTCTCTCTTTCTTTCCCTTCCACCTTTTGTCTGTCATTCTCTCTCTGTCCCTATGTCTGTCTGTCGCTCTCTCCTTTTCTGTCTGTTGCTCTCTCCCTCTATCCCACCATTGTCTCTCGTTCTCTCTGTCCCTGTGTCTGTCTGTCGCTCGCTCTCTCCTTTTCTGTCTGTTGCTCTCTCCCTCTATCCCACCATTGTCTCTCGTTCTCTCTGTCCCCGTGTCTGTCTGTCACTCTCTCCTTTCCTGTCTGTTGCTCTCTCCCTCTATCCCACCGTTGTCTCTCGTTCTCTCTGTCCCCGTGTCTGTCTGTCGCTCTATCCTTTCCTGTCTGCTGCTCTCTCCCTCTATCCCACCATTGTCTCTTGTTCTCTCTGTCCCTGTGTCTGTCTGTCGCTCGCTCTCTCCTTTCCTGTCTGTTGCGGTCTCATTTTCTCTGACTATTGCTGTCTCTCTCTCTCTTCCTCTGTCTGTCCCTCTCTGCTGCCCCCACTCCTCTCTGCCTTAATAGCTGCACTGTCCACAGCCTGCAAGGAGGACATACAGATCACAGACCTCTCGCGCTCTCTACCTACCCTCTGCCACCCTTATCTGGGCCATAAGTCACCTCCCTGTAGTGGCCCTTGGGGGGGGGGGGGCGATATCTCGACACAGCTGCTCTAGGGGGCCACTAGAGGTGGCGGTTTACCTTCCCCCTTCCACACTCCCTGGCCCCTCTCAGTCGTCCTGTGACCACAGCCGGCTGCAAGGCAGATGCAGTTCTGCATGGGTGACCCCCGCCATTCCACGTCATATCAGAATACCAAGAAGTCACGGTGAAGATGGATGAAGAGACAGCTGCCGCGTGTGTGCTGGGATGGACTCAGATTTTCTCCTCCCATCATGCAGTGATGGCCATCACGGATGGACTGGAACAGCAGAGTGTGCACATTCACTTAGCAGTCGTGCCCTTTAGGGGGGCATCCTAGTGTGCGGTGAGGGACACTCCAGCCGCGTTCCCAGGCTTCGCCCTTGTTTTTCTCCGCGGCCGTTCATAACAAACCTTGGATGCGATTACAGACAGATCAGGCAGACCTGTTGATTCACTGAGCATTGGGAGTATCCAGCCGCCCCCCCCAACCCCTGACGCATCTACACTGGACATAACAACACCCCGCTGTTAAAAAACACGCCAGCACCCCGCTAACTGCTCCATTTGCTGTAAGTAACACCACAAACCAGCAGCAGGCACACATGGGTTTTGTTTGTCCAGTACATTGTCCCATTACCCGATACTCTAAGCAGTCCGAATCGGGGATTTTTACAGACAGGTGAGAGATGTCAGTCTGTCACTGTTATTTCTCCAGGGCAAGGCAGGGGGTGTGGGGGGGGAGACACGCATTCAGGGGCCCTTGGACAAGAAAGCACAGCATGAGTTTGGCTCGTTAACCGCTAACGGCGATCGGCGTGAAAAGGTCATGCTGACAGTTTCCAAAACAAAGGAGAGGAAGGCTCCCCCCAATGCCGACAGTCAGCGCTCCCCCCCTCTCAGTCACGCACACTGGGGGGGGCACCTGTTCTGGGACACGCCGGTCCCTGTCGCGTCAGATGGAGCACAGACATCCCGCCGAGCTCGGCTCCCTGTAGGTGTGATCGGAAACACAGCCACCGTAACTCACTGGACCCGCCGGACAGCTCTGTGCCTACGTCTGGTTTCATACTGATCAAAAGGGAAAAGGCAGGATCTTAACCATGCCCGGTGTCCATTGGGGTGGTGAGGGGCAGTGGGCTCTGATCCCAGCAGTGGATCGGGGCACGAGAACAGCCTGGGGACACTCCAGCCTCCCGAAAATGCACCCCCCCATCTTTCTAGCTGTTTATTTTACCTTATTTTTATTCTTAACCCGGCATGCAGAAAACAAATGTATTTAACTAGTGCCGGGGTCGTCCTCATAGAGCGCTCTACGTTGGATTAAGTTCATAAAAAAATCCCCTTCAGCCCCAGCTGGTGAGGCTGACATCAGAGGCATGAGAAGACCCTAACCCTCAATCCTTGCTCTCGTTCTTTCCCTTACGGTCTCACCCTTCCCTGTATTGCCCTGGGAGGTAGCTACACTGCCCTCTGGTGTTCAAACGCATGTATTGTCCACTCTGATGAGTGTCATTACGGACAAGTCAGACTGAGTCCGGTGCTTAATGATGACCTGAGCAGTGTCTGCTGCACTACACTGTGTACATAATGAGCCGCTGTGACCTGCAGTTTGCCTAAAAAATCATTTTTGTAGGACTGACCTCCTAGTCCTCTTTCTCCTTGTTGGCCAGAGAAGGCTTCTTCCCAAAAATAGTCGCCTACGAGGCCCTCGTACGTTCGGCGGCGGAGAGGCAGCTGCCCCGGTGTGCCGACCTCACAGAGGCTGGCGTTCTCAGGCGACCGTGCCCGGGTCGCCTTTTCAGGCCGCCGACGGCCTGCCTCCAGCTTGCCTCCAGCTTGCCTCGTTTCTGATAATAAAGGCCTCTGCTCTGGACATTAGAGCCCCACACATTACGCTCCTCTCATCTTCTCAGGGGCTGTTTTGAGCCTGCAGCCTTCAGTAACGAGAGGAGGAGAGACAGAGGGGGAAGGCGACACGATCGCTTTCTGCAGACGTAGCGGCTCGCGGGCGGAAAAACGGGCCGAAGGCGGCACCGGCCCAGATGGCTTTACCAGTCTCCCTCCATCATGTACGAGCGGAACATTCCGGATTTATAGGATATGTCCCCGAACCAGGGGCCTCGTCTCTCCCTTAATGGGCTTTCCGGAGGGGATGGTGCTGTTTTCTGCTCGAGTCAGACGCGCCCTTAATCAACGGTGTGCAGTTGGAATAATCACAACTTTAAATGCAGTGTCGCACTGGACTTAATAGTTAGTATTGTTCATATTATTAACAACAATCACCAGTATCATCATTATTTTGAATAAATCTGGATGTTATGCATATGGGTGTTAATGATACGTGACCATTAGATGCCCATTACAGTGATAAATACGGAATTAAGGGGTTTCTACAGAAAAGTATATATTTGAACAATTGAACAGTCTTATATTATGGAAAAGGATTTCACTGAAAAATCTGTTTGAGCACTACACATAGACGGTGACAAATCGTAAAGAGAAGAGAGTTATTACAGACATGAATGGCTGAGTGAATCTCAGGTCATTATGTTGTATGGTTAAAGAAACCCTGAGGTTCATAGGTTACTGTTACCAAGGAGACATAAGATGCTATATAAACCAGAGATTCCGGAACCAGGACAGCGTTAGCCCTACTGGCCCTTTCAGTTCGGTTGCCATGGCACTGAGTTTGTCTTTTCTTCACCCGTAGGTTCATCCTGGTGTTTGGCTGCCTGGTGCTGTCTGTATTCTCCACCATTCCCGCTCACCTGGAGCTCTCGTCCCACTGCCTTGTCATCCTGGTGAGATACATCCACGGCCGTCTTTCGAACATGCCCGACGGCACCCCTGCCTCCACACCTGCCTCCTTCACAAAGCATTAAACCCACTACCTGCACAGAACTGAAGCCGCCCCCTCTCTGTGTTCAAGTACCTGAGGCGGTTTGTCACTCGGTGTCATGCGTATATTAGTGCTGCTCACTATGACCACAGATGTTTAGTCATTATTGGCCTCATCAGCTCTGTAATGGAGCCTAAATGGTGCCTGAATCATGACATCACTGATCTTACACAGGTAAACTATAAGCCCTTGGAAACTAAGGTGGGACGGACAGGTAAAGTGGCATCCATGTTAAAAGTCACACAACATGAGTCACATGGCTTTTTTTGGGGGGGGGGCACTGGAGCTATAACCTCTAGGGTGGGGCTTTTTTGTAAAGGGGGCAGTGCCTCTAAGCTTCAGGACAGTAGCTGAAATTCAAGATCAGAAGCATCGTCAGCAGCGGCGTCAGCGATACGCAGACATCTGTGCGGCTTGGTGGGCGGGGCGTTGGTGGCTGGTCATGAGGGCGGAGCCACATCCAAACTGTGCCGATGAGGCTGGTCATGAGGGCGGAGCCACATCCAGACTGTGGCGATGAGGCTGGTCATGAGGGCGGAACCACATCCAAACTGTGGCGATGAGGCTGGTCATGAGGGCGGAACCACATCCAAACTGTGGCGATGAGGGCTCCTCCGGGTTACCTGGCTCACCTCCGCAACCAACAGCTAACCTGTGTGTGTGTGTGTGTGTGTGTGTGAGCAGGTTTACCTATCCTTATGGGGACACAATGTCCCCATAACATGATAAATATCCATTTTTTTTCCCCTATGGGGACTGGTTTCCTGGTCCCCATAAGGGAAAACTCTATTTTATAAAAATCGGTGACTGCTATGAAAAAACTGCAAAAACTCTTGTATTTTGTTAGGTTACTTATGGTTATGGTTAGGGCAGGGTAGGGGTTAAGGTTGTCATAGTTAGCGTTAGCATTTTTCCCATTGAATTGAATGAGCGGGCCCCATAAGGATATGTTTACCCTACATGTGTGTGTGTGTGTGTGTGTGTGT